TTATTATTATTATTATTATTATTATTATATTATTATATTATTATTATTATTATTATTATTATTATTATTATTATTATTATTATTATTATTATTATTATTATTATTATTATTATTATTATTATTATCATTATTATCATTATCATTACTATTATTATTACTATTATCACTATTACTATTATCATTATTATTATTACTATTATTATTATCATTATTATCATCATTATTATTATCATCATTATTATTAGCATTATTACATTATTGTTATTATTATCATAATCATTACATTATTATTATTATCATTAATACTATTATCATTTTATCATTAATGCTGTTATCATCATTTTCATTATCAATATCATTATCATTATAATTATTATTGTTATTGTTATCATTATTATTGATGTTATTGATATCAATATTATTATTATCACCATCATTATGTTTACCATTATCATTAGTATTATTATCATTACCATTATTGTTATTGTTGTATTGTTGTTGTCGTTGAAACTATCACTATTAATACTGTTATCATTGTTTTTTATCATTATTATCATTATCATTACATTTATCATTATTATCATTATCATTATCTCTATCTTTATCATTATTTTCATCATCATCGTGATTATAATCATTATGATCCTTATAATTATTGTTATCATAATAATAATAACATCATTGTCATTATTCCTTCTATTATAATTGCCATAAACATTGTCATTATAATCATAATCGCTGCATTTATTCGTAGAAGTAGTTGCACTGGTTTCGTTATTATCCTCATAATTGTTATTGTTGTGTTATTCTAATTATCATTAATATAATCAGTTCTATTATTGTTATTATCATTTTTATTATTATTATCATTATTGGTATTATTTTCATTATTTTCATAATCAAAATTATCATCATCATTATCATCATCACCATCATCATCATCATCATCATCATCATCATCACCATCATTATTGATATCACAATGGTTGTTTTTGTCATCAGCATTGTCATTATTACTATTGTCATCATAATCATTATTTTTGTCACTAGCACTATCAGTTTTTATTAGCAGTACTAATTTCGATATTATTATTGTTATATCATTGTTATTGTTATTATCATTATCATTATTATTACCATTATTATTATTATTATTACTATTATCACAATGATCATTATCATTATCTTTATAATTGATAATTATCTTTATAATTATTATCTTTATAATAATATAATTATAATATAATCATCATCATTATTGTTATTAATATCATTATCATCATTATCATTATTATTACTATTATTATTATTATTATTATTATTATTATTATTATTATTATTATTATTATTATTATTATTATTATTATTATTATTATTATTATTATTATTATTATTATTATTATTATTATTATTACTATTATTATTATTACCAACATCATCATCATCATGATTATTATCATTATTATCATTATAAATACTTCCATTATTATTATTACTATATATATCAAAACTCTCCCTTATAAGTACGATAATTTAGGTTAATAATCCTTTGAAAGCGAGGAATTTGGCGGGAAAACACGTCTCGAGTTTGTTTACAGTTGTATCGAATAAAAATTTACAAATGAAATCTATCATTACGCCTGTATACCATAATTACAATTCAGATTAATGGGTAGGAGAGGATAAATCCAATGTCGTAAATTCACAATCCAAGCAGATTCAGAAATGACTTTTTCATAAATCAAATTTGTAATTATATAAAGTTCAATGACGATTTGCTGTATTAAACTTGAAATACTCCTGTAGTGATCGGCGACTTGGAGGGTTATTCTGAACATTTGAATCTATTATTCAAATATGAATGTTTTAATCCACTACATAAACCTGTGCATCATGATAATCAACCATACACATACCAAATCCATTGCTTAAACCTGTATACCGTGGTAATCAACCATACACATACCACTTCTTCCATGCTTATGAAAAAATAATTACAACAGAGAATATAATATTGAAAAAGAAAATAAGAGGAAAGACAGCCACTAGCACACAGCAAATGTGTTTATTTCCGAAATCCACTAAAAATAGACAATCTGTGTTGTCAGGATATCGTGATTCAACGCGACAAGCTTTTTTTCTCAAGAACTCAGCTATCAAGGATGAAAAATGAGGAATAGTCAATGCCTATCAAACACTGTCACACAAACACTAATGGAAACGCCGTCAGGTCAGTTAAAAGATTCATAGATGATATTTGGTACATAAGACATTTATATATATATATATATATATATATATATATATATATATATATATATATATATATATATATATATATATATATATATATATATAAAACACAATGTTCACACTATAACAACATTTACACTTTTTAAGCAAAACGAATATATAGTTCATTTGTTTTTATTTATTTTCTACCTTTCATTACTCCTGACAAGTACGCGCAGATGAACAATAAATTATCAAAAGGTTATAG